GCCAACTTGAAGGACGAGCCACGCCAACTCCAAGGATGAGCCACAGACGCCAACTTGAAGGACGAGCCACGCCAACTCCAAGGACGAGCCACAGACGCGAAGGCCAACCTCGGCTGGAACTGCCTGCCTGCCTGCAGCTGCTGCTGCCTTTCCACGTGTGAATTGAGGTCGCCTCAGCCTCGCCACACCTGACACGCCTGTAGATCGATGTTCCTCAACCTTCTGACACGCGTTCAAATTGAGGTCGCCTAAGCCTCGCCGCCTGCTGCCTGGAGCCAACCGCTGCTCCTGCGCTTACAAAGCTGCCTGCCTTCCAAGGCCACTTGCCTTACAAAGCTTCTTGCCTCCCAAGGAGCAACTCTAGCAACTCTAACCGCTCAGAAGCCTCTAGCCGCTCAGAAGCCTGCCTGCTGCTTCCCGATCGAGCCAAGAGCTTCAGTGCCTCTTCCAATGCCGCTGCCTCCAGGGCCGGCTCCGCGCTCAAATCCGACGGGCTCCGTTCTCAAACCGCTGCCTGCCGCCTTCCTAACAAGCCCAGGATCGCAAACTCACATGCCTCCCCATCTCAGCCGCCTCCAGGGCCAGTCTCCGCTCTCAAGCCTCCTAAAGAAGCCGCTGCCTCCAGGGCTGGTTCCGCTCAGCCTGCCTAGCTTCAGCACAGAGCTGTCAGTCAAAACGCCGGTCTCCGCTCTCTAACAGAAGCCTCCACAGCCGTTTCAGAAGCCTATCCCTTCTCTGCAGCAAACGCCAGCAGAAATCCTGTCAGCTAAATCCTTCCAGCAACAGGGGACCCTGCCTGTAGGCCGATCGAGCAAAGCCAATCCACAAAGCCGCTAATCTCTTCATACACAAACTTACAAGTTATACTGCCTCCCTGCCGCTGCTGGTCCCGCTGGCAAACTCAGGAACGAGCCAAACAGTTGATTGAAGTCCTGAACCATTTTGAGGGCCGCAGAAACAAACGCATGCGCAGAACTGGTGGGGGGGAATGCAAATGTGTATACAATACAAATAAATTGTAAATGCAATTGAACAATACAAATAAATTGTAAATGCAGTTGAACAATGAACACGAAAAATGCAAATAAAATACACGTATGCAAATAACTGGGGGGAAGGAGTGTTATATCCCAGCAACAGTCTGTGCTGCGCTCTAATTGGTCGGGCGAAGCACAGCCTGTGATTGGAGGTTCTAGTGGCAGTTAAATGACAGTTGGTACCTGAGGGTATCAATACAGTGACAGTTGTAACAGATTCTGAATCGCTGTCATCTCGCAATAAACATCTTACTCTCTGATTCCATGG